CTTTCCTTCTTTCCCTCCTTCCCTCCCTCCTTCTTTTCTTTCTTTTCTTTCTCTGAGCCAGGCTGGAGTGGAGTGCAGTGGCATGATCTTGGCTCACTTCAAATGAACATCCATCTCCTGTGCTCAGGCAATTCTCTTGCCTCAGCCTCCTGAGTAGCTGGGATTATAGGCACATGTCATCCTGTCCAGCTAATTTTTGTATTTTTAGTAGAGACGGGGTTTCACCATGTTGGCCAGGATGGTCTTGAACTCCTGAGCTCAGGTGATTTGCCCATCTTGGCCTCCCAAAGTGCTGGGATTACAGATGTGAGCCACTGCGCCAGCTGAGTACAATATTAATATAGATAAAATATGAAGTTTATTTTTTCATATGAGAATATTATAAGTTTGTTTTTTCTTGTATCTGTCTGTTGCCCTTATATTTGAATGACAGTGGCTAGATATAATTTTTTTTTTTTTTGAGACAGTTTCACTCTTGTTGCCCAGGCTAGAGTGCAATGGTGTGATCTCAGTTCACCACGACCTCTGCCTGCCGGGTTCAAGTGATCCTCCTGCCTCAGCCTCTTGGGTAGCTGGGATTACAGACATGTGCCACCACACGTGGCTAATTTTGTATTTTTAGTAGAGACGGGATTTCACCATGTTGGTCAGGCTGGTCTTGAACTCCCAACCTCAGGTGATCCGCCCGGCTAAGCCTCCCAAAGTGTTGGGATTACAGCCACCATGCCTGGCCCAAAAATTTTATTTAATTTTTTTTCTCTAGTGGTTTTGTACACGGACCTGATACTATTATTATTATTATTATTATTAACATTTTTGAGGCCGGGCGCGGTGGCTCAAGTCTGTAATCCCAGCACTTTGGGAGGCCGAGGCGGGTGGATCACGAGGTCAAGAGATCGAGACCATCCTGGTCAACATGGTGAAACCCCGTCTCTACTAAAAATACTAAAAATTAGCTGGGCATGGTCGCGTGTGCCTGTAATCCCAGCTACTCAGGAGGCTGAGGTAGGAGAATTGCCTGAACCCAGGAGGCGGAGGTTGCGGTGAGCCGAGATCGTGCCATTGCACTCCAGCCTGGGTAACGAGCGAAACTCCATCTTAAAAAAAAAAAAAAAAAAAAAAAACATTTTTGAGACTGAGTCTTACTGTGTTGCCCAGGCTGGTGTGCAGTGGCATGATCTCGGCTCACTGCAACCTCCACCTCCCTAGTTCAAGCCATTCTCCTGCCTCAACTTCCCAAGTAGCTGGGATTACAGGTGCATGCCACCACACCCAGCTAATTTTGTATTTTTAGTAGAGACAGGGTGTCACCGTGTTAGCCAAGATGCTCTCAAACTCCTGACCTCAGGTGCTTTGCCCGCTTCAGCCTCCCAAAGTGCTGGGATTACAGGTGTGAGCCACTGCACCCAGCCTAAGTGCTGTTTTAGAGAAATTTGAAGATAGACCAATTTTGAAATTATCCCCTTAGATGAATTGATTTGTGTCAGGAGAAGGGTTGTCTAGATCAGCGTTCCCAAACTTTTTTCGCATCAAGGACCAGTTTCATGGAAGACAATTTTTCTGTGTATGGGGTTACAGGGGAGATGGTTTCAGGACAAAACTGTTCTACCTCAGATCATCAGGCATTGGTTAAGGAATGTGCAGCCTAGATCCCTCGCATGGGCATTTAACCATAGGGTTTGCACTCCTATGAGAATCTAATGCTGCTGCTGATCTGACAGGAGGTGGAAGCTCTAGGTCCACCTCCTGCTGTGTGGCCCGTTTGTGACAGGCGATGGACCACTTGCACTCTGCAGTCCAGGAGTTGGGAACCCCTGGTCTTGATGACCATAAGATGCCTTATCAAAGTGTATCCTGATTTTTTGTGTGTATTGGTTTTTTGGGAAGGGTCTTGCACTGTCACTCAGCTACAGTGCAGTGGCACGATCATGGTTCACTGTAGCCTTGACCTGGGCTCAAGCAATCCTCCCACCTTAGCCTCCTGAGTAGCTGGGACCACGGGTGCACACCACCACACCTTGCTAAGTTTTTTGTTTGTTTTGTTTTGTTTTGTTTTGAGGCAGAGCCTTATTCTGTCACCCAGGCTGGGATGCAATGGCATGATCTTGTCTCACTGTAACTTCCGCCTCCTGGGTTCAAGCAATTCTCCTGCCTCAGCCTCCTCTGTAGTTGGGATTACAGGTGCCCACCGCCACGCCTGGCTAATTTTTGTATTTTTAGTAGAGACAGGGTTTTGCCATGTTGGCCAGGCTGGTTTTGAACTCCTGAACTCAGGTGATCTGCCCACCTCGGCCTCCCAAAGTGCTGGGATTACAGGCATGAGTCACACACCTGGCTAAGTTTTTAAAATTATTTTTGGTAGAGATGAAATTTCGCCATATTGCCCAGACTGGTCTCGAACTCCTGAGCTCAAGCGATCCTCCCACCTCGGCTTCACGAAGTGCTGGGATTACAGGCCACTATACGCTGCCAAGATGTATCTTGTTGTTGGCTCTGCATCAGTTTTTTTCTGAGTCACAGTATTCCCTTACCACTTGCAAATTCAAGACTACTTTTATTTCAGGAAATTTGTTTTCTGTTGTGTATTCGCCCTTTTGGTTGTTCTGTTTCTTTTTCTCTTTAGTATACCTATCACCCTGGTAGAGTTTATGTTAATTCCCTTTTTTCTTTGATGCCTGCCATTTTCTCTGTAATTATTTTCAACTTTTTTTTTCCCCTTGATTTTTCTTGAATTTGTTTTCCATGTCCCATGCTGCATTGTTTCATCATATATTTATTTGGCGTTGTTTTTGGCACTGACAGTAAAGCAGAGAACAAAACAGACAATAATCATTTACCTCATGAAACTTATTTAGTGGAAGAATCAAACAACAGACAAAATAATAGTAGGTCGGAAGTCATGAGTCCAAGAAAAATAAGGTCATGTAAGGAGGGCAGGACAAGAATTACATTTTTAGAAGGGTTGTCAGAAATGGGCTTACTGAGGAAGTGATATTTGAGCAAAGACCATAAGAAATGCACATATTTAGGGGAAAGCAGCATTCGAAGTAGAGGAATAGTGTAAGTGGCTTGAGGTGGGAGCATAGTTCCTATAGGGATACTCATTTCATCATAGGAGCTGTACTTATGGCTTGATCCCAACCTAATCACCTGCCAGAGCCCCCACATTAAGGATTTGGACTTTAACATGTGAATTTTGAGGGAATGCAAACCTACTGTCCTATAACTGCCGTATTTTCTGTGATTAATTTGTTCATAGTTTTCATCTGCTTCATGATACAAGTTGTATGGCATTTTTTAAATGACATTTGGTTATACTGTTGCTTTTCTTTTATTCCTTGCAAAGTCTTTGATTAAGACCTACACTGGTTCCTTTTTGATTATTGGTCATCATTGAACTGGAGGTATTCGTCTTAGATTTGTTTTTACCTAAGAATAAAATTGTGGGAAAGGGGCCAGAGGAGTGGTTGGGAAGGCAGATGGTCAGCTTGAATTTTCCCAGGTCCCTTTGGTGGCATGACCCAGTGAGTAAGAAACAGAGCTCCTTATATCACAGCTTTGTTTTGTTTAAATTGATAAACACTGATGCATGTGAGAATCACCAGGGGAATCCTTAGCCATTGCCAGTGCAATGAGAATCTGTGAGGGTGGGACCTGGGTTTATAGGCTTTAAAGTGCCTCAGGTGATTCTCTTGAATAGCCAGGCTAGAATTGCTGATTTAGCCTGTACTTTTAGATATACAAGATCTACTGATGTTTGGCTACATGCAATCAAATTTCTCTTCCACCTTACCATACTTAGAGCCTGCTGCTTGCAAAAAATGGCAGGTCTAGGTGTTCACATTTTCCTTAATATGTCCCACCTTCTCCCATAGGCCACTCATACTTCCTGACTTTGTCATACCATGCAAGGGCTTGCTGGTTTTATCTTAGGTCTTCACCTTTTTTAGTGAGCTATGAACTGTACCTACTCTGGCCCATAGAGGCAGGCATCTGCTGTGCCTAGCTTAATATGGTTCTGTTTTTTTGAAAATTTTATTGTGGAATTATAATACACATATAGAAAATGCATAAAATGTAAATAAGCATCCGTGTAGCTATTGACCAAGTCCAGAAACAGAATGTTTACCAGGACCCCAAAAGCTTTTTTTCTGACCCTTCTCAAGCACAAATCTTTCTCCTTCTGTAAAGGTAACCACTGTCCTGACCTAGCTGGTGATCAGTTCTTCTCCTCATTATTCTCATTTTCAGGGTAATGGTTTTTTCCTAGTTTCATCAAATGTTTCCTTTGTTTTCAGAAAAGAGAGAAACAAAAATGCCTTTTTTCTTCTGTCTATAACTAGAAGCAGAGGACTATTGGGATTGGCAATTTAGGTTTTGGGTGTTTTTTTGAGGGGGCTCTTTTTTAAACAGATGAAGTCAGAGGTCATTATGGCTAATGCCATACTGACTGGCAGTTCAATGTGCAGTACCATAGTGCAGGCTATTAGCCTGACTTGATTTGTAGTAATCAGTAGTTCTGAATATAAGAGATGGGAATTTTTTTTTTTTTTTTGGAGACGGAGTTTTGCTCTTGTTACCCAGGCTGGAGTGCAATGGCGCGATCTCGGCTCACCGCAACCTCCGCCTCCTGGGTTCAGGCAATTCTCCTGCCTCAGCCTCCTGAGTAGCTGGGATTACAGGCACGTGCCACCATGCCCAGCTAATTTTTTTTGTATTTTAGTAGAGACGGGGTTTCACCATGTTGACCAGGATGGTCTCGATCCCTTGACCTCGTGATCCACCCGCCTCGGCCTCCCAAAGTGCTGGGATTACAGGCTTGAGCCACCGCACCCGGCCAGAGATGGGAATTTTAAACGTCCATTTCTCTTCAAACAATATGGCACCAAATTTTTTCAGTTTAGATGAAAAATACCAACAGTGTATATACATTAATCACTATTTTGGGTCTCCAAGAATATAAATGTATAATCAAGTTAATTAATGTTTTTGTTTTTTAGGAATATGAAGCCATCTACCTAGCAAAATTAACAATACAGGTGATGTCACCACTCCAGATAGAAAGGTCATTGTCTGTTCATTCTGGTACCACAGGTAAGGATTTTTCTTCTTTTTTGGAGAAATTTGGGAAGAAAGATAATGAAAGGTGGAGAACTTGCTACAGGTTACACTGAACAATTTAAATTATTTAGAAAACTTGTTAAACTGAGATTATTTCAAAAGGATTCATTTTATAATGGATAAATCTGTATTGTAATAAGCTTAAGTCTCTTTAGTAGTACATCTATGTTGTAAAGATTAAAATAAGAAGAATATTGGGAGGCTGAGGTGGGTGGATTGCCTGAGCTCGGGGGTTTGAGACCAGCCTGGGCAACATGGTGAAGCCCCGTCTCTACTAAAATACAAAAAATTAGCCAGGTGTGGCGGCATGCGCCTGTAGTCTTAGCTACTTGGGAGGCTGAGGCAGAATTGCTAGAACCTGGGAGGTTGCAGTGAGCCAAGATCACATCACTGCACTCCAGCCTGGGTGGCTTAGGTGATCTTATTAAAAGTAAAAGGTGGTTAATACTGCATGTAGGGTGGCTTATGTGAGCTGTTTTTCTCTTGCCGTCAATATTTCCATCCTTTCTTCCCTCTGTTGCTATTTCAGAAGTACCCTAAGCCCCTTATTTTCAAAGTTAATCCAAGCATGCTGTCAAAAATCTTCCTTTCCTAAGACCTTGTTACTGATGTTTAGCACCTTTGTTTCTCCCCTACCAAAGCACACAAGTCATTTTTAATTTATTTGCAGTTTTTCTACCCCACAGTTCATTTCAACCTTTGAGCCAACAGTTACATAAGGAAGTAAGAACAACTTATATACCTAGTTAGCGCTGACCTGGAAATTGAGGACAGGTGATCTGAGCCACAAGTATAGAACTTTTTATACTCTACTGCACTGCCTATAGTGAGTAATACGACTGTATATTCACCCCCAAGGTTAAACTTCCTAATTATCTTTGACTTTTTTCTTTCCTTTGCCACATATAATTAATAAGTGCTTTCCACATCCTATAGAGTCTGTTTTGTCAGTATTGTTAATATTCCTTTCTTTTTTAAAAAGTGTCCTCAATCTAGTTCAGGTCCGGATTTGCCTCCTGTCCAGACTCTTGTTGTTTGATCTGTTCCATACATTGTGGCCAGGCTTATTTCCATGAAAGATATTTCTTTTTTTTTTTTTTTTTTTTTTTTTTGAGAAAGAGTCTCACTCTGTCGCCAGGCGCCAAGCTGGAGTGCAGTGGCACAATCTCAGCTCACTGCAACCTCTGCCTCCCAGGTTCAAGCAATTCTCCTGCCTCAGCCTCCCGAGTAGCTGGAACTACAGGCACATGCCACCACACCCAGCTAATTTTTGTATTTTTAGTAGAGACGGGGTTTCACCATGTAGGCCAGGATGGTCTTGATCTCTTGACCTCATGATCCGCCCACCTCGGCCTCCCAAAGTGCTGGGATTACAGGCTTTAGCCACTGCGCCCGGCCCCATGAAAGATATTTCTAATAATGATATATTTCCTTTGCCAAAGCCTCCTTTGACTTCATTCCTACAAAGTTTATAGAATGCCATTGTTGTAAAGGCCCTTCTGATTTTTCAGTTTCTTTCTCTCATTGTTCTTCTTTATATTGGCATTTCAGAAAACAACTACTGATGGTTTCCTTTGTGTGTCTTCTTTTCCCCACCTAAAATGCATCACAATTAGTCTCCCTATTCTTGGTTCATAAGTCATTTCCTCAGAAAGATATGATGATTAATGCACTCTTCCTCCCTAGACATTTGGAGTTCTCACAGAAGCACAGCACTTCATCTGAAACTTATTCACAGTATCTGGATTTAGCCTAAGGGCTAGGATATTTTACCTCATTCAATTGTATTGATACTATATTTTTGTTTATTTTATAAATTTTATAGTGGAACATTAACCTCATATTAGAATCTGTCCTCTGAATTAACATTATTATTACCATAATGTAACAGTCACGTAGGGCATAAGTTTAAGATTGTGCCATTGTTAGGCAAAAGACAGCAGATCCTCTGTTCCCTAAAGGTTTCCTCCGTTGAGATTCTAATTTCTTGCTTACAACTTTTGGGGATATAGAGATAGCTTTGATTCTATGTGGGAGATTTCTGTATTAACAGATGCTGATGTGAAGAATAGATAGAAGAAAATCTCTTTATATGCTACATGCCTTCCTTTCTCCCAACCTAGACTTCCATAGGTTCAGTGGAAAAATATTTTCAGCTGTTCTTCATAACAGCCTCTGTGAAAGCAAAAAGATTATCTACAAAAAATCGGGCTGGGTGCCGTGGCTCAAGCCTGTAATCCCAGCACTTTGGGAGGCCGAGGCAGGTGGATCATGAGGTCAAGAGATCGAGACCATCCTGGTCAACATGGTAAAACCCCGTCTCTACTAAAAATACAAAAAATTAGCTGGGCATGGTGGTGCGTGCCTGTAATCCCAGCAACTCAGGAGGCTGAGGCAAAAAAATTGCCTGAACCCAGGAGGCGGAGGTTGCGGTGAGCCGAGATCGCGCCATTGCACTCCAGCCTGGGTAACAAGAGAGAAACTCCGTCTCAAAAAAAAAAAAAATTAATTAATTATACAAATACAAGACTAATTTCCTAAATTTCATGCCCTAAGACATGTGTTTATGATGCCTAAAAAGCAATTAACTTGATAACTAAACATTTCTGTATTATCTCTTTAAAAGGTCTATTTTCACACTATTTCAAAAATTGTTTATTTTGTATGCAATACCTAAGACGTACTTAATATTTGAGAAGGAAAATATATCTTGTGAAGATTTAAAAGTTATAGCATTTAGGTAATTTATAACAAAGGAAATTACTAAATTTTGCTATTAATTCAGTTGTAGAATTTTCATAGTGTATACATGATCACTTAATGAAAAAACTTTACTCACTGCAGTATTTTAACATGAATTTATTTTAGTGCCCTTTTTATCTTTATGCAATAACTTCTAGGCAGTTTGAAGAGAACGCATGAAGAAGAGGATGATTTTGGAAACATGCAAGTGGCTACCGCACAGAATGGCTGAAGAGCAGCATTACAGAGTGTGAATTTCTTTTTGGGAAGGAGAAAATACAAGAGACAATTATAATGTAAAATGGTAAAAACATAAGTTTTTTTTGAATTACGTGTTGCTTCCAGACATACTTCTCTGGAACTTGTTGAGCCACATTTTAAGATGTTGGACTTCTGCAATAGATGGCACTGATGGTTTTACTCCTTTTTAAAAAAAAAAGAAAAAGAAAAAGAAGGAAACACTTTACAAGTTTTATTATAAAACCAAGAATTTTGGACTTTCAAAGAGGTATTATTGCAATAATGCACTTTTCATACTTGAAATTTATTTGTATGATCTAGTTATTACTTTAAGCAAAATGCAAGTTGGGGGGATTGTTTATAAAGTTTGGGTAATTTATAACAAAAGAATTTGCTAAGATTTGCTAAAAATTCATTTTTCTGTTCTATATATTACATTTTTAACATAATTTTACGCTTCAATTTTATGATGGGGCCTCTTACAGAAACATTAACAAAATGCAGGAATCTGCCACATTTCTTTTTTAGTATGACTTAATAGCTTAATTATTTTATTTTTTATACTTCTTGTTCCCTTATTAATTAATAGTCTTTAAATCATGACCCTAATCAGCTATCTTTACTTTAATATGATCTGATTATTGCTTCCTTTCCTATTAGTTTCCTAAATTGTTTATTCTACATTAAAAAAAAAAAAGCTACAGTCTCAGTGATAAGGAAGATGTTTTGCTTTATAGTACCAAGTGCTTAAAAACAAGGATAGTGAGGCTGGGCGTGGTGGCTCACGCCTGTAATCCAAGCACTTTGGAGGCCAAGGCGGGCGGATCACCTGAGGTCGGGAGTTCAAGACCAGCCTGACCAACATGGTGAAACCCCGTCTTAAAAAAAAAAAAAAAAAACAAGGATAGTGTTAGATTTTCAAGTGACTTTCCTTTTTGCTTTTTTTTTTTTTTTTTTTGGTGTAAAAGCCATATGTTGTATTTGTTCTTTTCAGAGTTGTCCAGCCCTTTTTCCTTTTGTCCAAAATGATTCTAAATAGAATCTAATAAACCAATGTAGCACTATTTTTTTCTAAATGAAGCCCAAAAAAAGAAAAGTGCCTTGCATCATTAAAAAAAAAATAAAATCCTCATGACCTCTAAATTAGTATGTAGAACAGTGAAAAGTTCTTAACATTTTTCTGTGATTTCTTTTTTCTTTGTTTTTCTTTTTCTGTTTTTGTTTTTGTTTCTGGTTTTTTGTTTTGTTTTGTTTTGTTTTGAGACAGAGTCTTGCTCTGTTGCCAGGCTGAGTGCAGTGGCATGATCTCAGCTCACCACAGCCTTCACCTCCCAGTTTCAAGCGATTCTCCTGCCTCAGCGTCCCGAGTAGCTGGGACTACAGGCACGCGCTACCACACCGGGCTACAGCTAATTTTTGTATTTTTAGTAGGGATGGGGTTTCACCGTGTTGCCGAAGATGGTCTCAATCTCTTGACCTCGTGATCTGTCCGCCGTGGCCTCCCAAAGTGTTGGGATTACAGGGGTGAGCCACTGCGCTCAGCCTTCTTTTCTTTTTAGACTATAAATTACTTTAAACTGAAAGTATGAGGCTGAAAGAAACATTAGTAAATTATTTGGAATATGGAATGTTTATTTTTATGTTGTCTTAATGATTCTGTGAAATTGTTCTGGCTCATAGAGAAGCTTTTCTTTGGGGAAGGCGATTTGTGGGAGACTAGTGTATTTTAAATTAGCATTTTAATCCATTTATACTCAGTCAAGGTCTGCCCCATAATTTGCTTTAGCAAGTCACTTTATGGATTTTTGGCTCTCCATGTTTTAGTTTGTGTGTATAAAAATTGTTCTAAGAAAACATTTTTGCTATTTTAAGTATATAAGGGAAGAGAGGAGTGTTTTTAACTTTTTATAATTGATGACTTTTGGGTAGCACAAACAAAACTCCTTTGTATCTAACTTTTCTCAATCCTCTTTTGAGGTGCTTCACTAATGGGAATGATTTCTCTTTGTTCCCTTGGTACCAAGAGGTACTATGCAAAGTAACCTATTAACACCAAGTTACTTGCTTTGCTTTCCTCCCTATGATGTGATAATACAGTAAAAGCTTTTTTATCCAGCATAGTGGGAATAGTGGAGGTTAATTAAAATTGTTGTTAATTAAGAGTTAATTCCTATTACCCAGGTGATGTTCCTCTTCTGATTTCCCTCCCCTACTCCTATCTTAACCACCCTGAAAACAGCATATTGTTAATCCCATTGTCGTCCAGTGTTCTGCTTTGTGATTAGGTCCCTTGGTGTACAATGATCTAGTGGAGTCATGATTTGCATTGGATGTTCTAAAATTCCAGTTGATAAAGTTCCAGATAACACAGCTTTCCTGTATATAGATCACTATTGGGCAGTCAGCAAAGATCTCTTACAGTGTAATAACAATCTCTGATGCTTCATTTAACAGAAACTCTGCTTGAAAGAATCTTCGTAATAGTAAGTTTAGATTTTAAAAACTTGTTTCATAAATATACGTATATCCTCTCTAGTAGTCTGGCCAAAAGAAAAGATTTTGTTATTGATAATTTGTAGCTGGTAATTTTCCACTTTTTCTATCCACTGTTATTTTTATGTTGTCACTGAAGTGCCTGCCCAGCACTGTATATTATAGTCTCTCACAAACACTGGGAAAACGGACTGTCATCATCTTGAATACAATATTATCATTTGAGATGGAGTCTCGCTCTGTGGCCCACGCTGGAGTACTGTGGTGCAATCTTGGCTCACTGCAACCTCCACCTCTGAGGTTCAAGTGATTCTCCTGCCTCAACCTCCCAAATAGCTGGGATTATAGTTCATGCCACCCTGTCTGGCTAATTTTTGTATTTTTTTTTTTTTTTTTTTGAGGCGGAGTTTTGCTTTTGTTACCCAGGCTGGAGTGCAATGGCGCGATCTCGGCTCACCGCAACCTCCACCTCCTGGGTTCAAGCAATTCTCCTGCCTCAGCCTCCCGAGCTGGGATTACAGGCAGGTGCCACCACACCCAGCTAATTTTTGTATTTTTAGTAGAGACGGGGTTTCACCATGTTGACCAGGATGGTCTCGATCTCTTGACCTCGTGATCCACCCGCCTTGGCCTCCCAAAGTGCTGGGATTACAGGCTTGAGCCACCGCACCAGGCTAATTTTTGTATTTTTAGTAGAGACGGTGTTTCACCATGTTGGCCAGGCTGGTCTTGAACTCCTGACTTCAAGTGATCCACCCATCTTGGCCTCCCAGAGTGCACAGGCATGAGCCCCTGTGCCAGCCAAGTACAATATTAATGTAGATAAAATATAAAGTTTATTCTTTCATATAAGAACATTACAAGTTTGTTTTTTTCTTGGATCTTTCTGTCCATCTGATGTTCAAGTAGTTCTGGTAGCTCTTCTTAGTCTTTATTCTATTTGATTCCATTTCTGTGATTTCTTTATTACCAGTGATGTTTTCTATTAGTTAACTGATTTAATCAATCATGATTTATTTTCTAGAGTATTTAAATAATGTATGAGTGGCCACCCAATTCCAACATTAAAAGTATAATCTGGGCACATAATTTATAGTGAAATTACATCAAAACATAGGGAAACTGTATTACTGTCCATGTTGAAAATATGAAACTTGAATATTGAAAATATTTAAACTTGGAATGGTAGTATTCTAATTTCAGTTAGCTGGTTCCTGTTAATTTCTTACCTATTAGATGTTTAAACAGCAGTGACCTTTGTTTACCTGTATCTACTCTTTGGTGGAAATGTTAAACCGTGATAGCTTTTGCTACCAACTCAACCACTTAACTGCTTCATCTGAGTTTAGAAGTAATGTCAGAAAATGTTAAGCATGTCCGTAATAAGAATATAAGGTTTCTAATTATCTTATTAATATGGTAATTCAAGTGAATTAGGAATATTTAACTGCAATCTTGAATTATAAAGTTGAGATACACATATCAAGATCTCAACTTGATGTAAAGTAAATGAGCAGTTACCTGGCGGATTTTTTCTTTTTTTAATAACTGGTTGAATCCATAATCCCATAACAAACATAGCTTCACCTCAGTATTTTCTTTCCTTCTTCATTCACGAGTGCTCCAATAAGGGAATGCTAGAAAATAGCTGATAAGTACTGAAAGACCATTTGTGAAAAAATTGATTAGAAAAGTAAGTTTCTAGGGTCTTTGAATGCTGGATTTTTTTTTTTTTTTTTTGTCTTTCCCATCTGTGGCAGCTAAAACAAAAATCACTCAAAATATTCAGGTTTACATGTTAGCTCTCTCTCATAGGGAGTTGCCATACCTCACAGTTCAAAGTGTATTCTCTAGATCAGTAACATTATACTGACATGTAATTGCAATTTACTATGCAGCAAAAATGATTCAAGAAGACAACCTACAGTGTCTATATACCTTTCTGTATACAATGCTTAAGTTACTCTGCTTTTAACATTTGTACTTGGATAAAATGCTTATGTCTGTATAGGAATGTCACAGTGCAAGATGCTGCTAGCCCAGGCACAAAGTATTAAAATTATTTTGTGAAGATTGGTGGTTGTATTAAAACTGCTGTGCCATTATACCTCCAGAATATTGCAAAGCTCATTCATACTGCTGCTTTATACCTCAAAACTTCTTTAGATTGTTATCTATGGGTAAAAGTAACCCAATTTTATTCCTGTGAGTTGAGTGAATGAACATTGAATGCTGAGAAGCCCTTAAGAGTTCCTCTAAAAAACTGTGGTTGCACACAAGAAAATTATGGTCTGTAATCCAGGCAAGCCTCAAATTGCAACTCAGGTTTATTTTTAAGGATTAGTTGAGCAAGTTTGGAGTTGGAAGTGAGAGAATTCGTGTTTAAAGGAAAGGGTAGGTCATCCATAGAACAGCTTTCAGTCATTAGAAAAAAAATACTTCCTGCTTTTATAGTACCTTCTTCCCTCATTAGGCCCACCTGCATACTGTGCTTCATAAATCTAAGATGCTGTCACAACTATACCATTATTTTAGGCACCACTAAAATAATTACATTTAGGGAATGTATTGCTAACAAAACTATGACAAACCCTTGATAATGTATCCAGATTTCAGAGATAAAACAATGCATCTTAGCTGATAAAGAAACAAAAATATTTTAAAAAATGGGACACAGTAAAAATGACAACTGCCCCTTCATTATACCTTTTAATAAGCAAATAGTGCTCAAAAATGTGAACAGCGAGACATGGTGGGTCACACATGTAATCCCAGATAGTCTAGAGACTGAGGCAGAAGATCACTTGAGCTCAGGAGTTTGAGATTGTTTGAGCAATAGTGAGACCCCACCTCTACAGAAAAATTTAAAGCCAGTTGTGATGGCACACACCTGTAGTACCAGCTACTGGAAAGGCTGAGTCAGGATGGATGGCTTGAGCCCAAGAATTGGAGGATGCAGTGAGATATGATCACACCACTGGATTACAACCTGAGTGATGGAGTGGGATACTGTCTCTTATAAAAATGTGGGCCAGGTGCAGTGGCTCACACCTGTCATCCTAGCACTTTGGGAGGCTGAGGCAAGAGGATCACTTGAGCCCAGGAGTTTGAGACCAGCCTGGGCAACATAGACCCCATCTCTACAAAAAAAAAATTAAATTAACTGGGTATGGTGGCATATACCTGTAGTCCCAGCTACTTGGGAGGCTGAATAGAAGGATCACTTGAGCCCAGGAGATTGTGGTGGCAGTGCGTGGTGATTGTGCCCCTACACTCCAGCCTGGGCAACAGAGTGAGACCTTGTCTCAAAGAATTAGAAAAAAAAAAGAGGCTACCGTGGGTACACTGCCTGTGGGGTAGTCCTGCTCCACAAGGAACAGTTAAGAAGTATAAGAAGTGGTTTATAGGCCGGGCGCGGTGGCTCAAGCCTGTAATCCCAGCACTTTGGGAGGCCAAGGCGGGTGGATCACGAAGTCGAAAGATCGAGACCATCCTGGTCAACATGGTGAAACCCCGTCTCTACTAAAAATACAAAAAAAAAAAAAAATCAGCTGGGCATGGTGGCGCGTGCCTGTAATCCCAGCTACTCAGGAGGCTGAGGCAGGAGAATTGCCTGAGCCCAGGAGGCAGAGGTTGCAGTGAGCCGAGATCACGCCATTGCACTCCAGCCTGGGTAACAAGAGCGAAACTCCGTCTCAAAAAAAAAAAAAAAAAAAAAAAAAAAAAAAAAAAAAGCATTTTTTTGTATTTACATTTACTTACCATATGGTTTCAAAAATCATAAACATGCTCAACTAAAACTACAGATCACCATTGTCCTCAATGACAAGTTTTGTATGGTGTACCTTACCTGTAATTCTATTTCCTATGGGAGGATTTAAAAGATGATCTTAGGAACACTGCTTAAAGGGATTTACTTAAGTGCCAACCTTGTGAATGATTTTACTTCAAATTGTTCAGTGGTAAGAAAGGTAATCAAGCATTTAATTTTGCCTTTTATTAGCCTATTTTTTTTAACATGAGTTTTTAATTACCGGAATTTACCTGATAAAAACTACTCTTTGTCAAGATTGTAGTAGGACTTCTGAAAAGACAGAACTAGCTTTGCTGCTTTTCACTAAGGACAGATCAGTTTGTCTGCATAGGTCATAAGTAGGTAAGTAGGGCACTCTTGATGAAGGATTTGTTGTTTTGGAAAGCCAACTATATAGCTGACTGCATGGAGGGAAATCCAAAATCCAGATGATATGGCATGAGTCAAAGGGATGAAAAACACTGGCCTTTTCTTTGCAAGTTCATTTCACAAAGAGCACATAAAACTAAAATGTTATGAATTATGATTTAACCTAATAGTTCAATAGCAGACTCAAGAAAAGCACAGATGTGATTCTAACATAAGACTACTCACATATGAATAGGTTTAATGTAATATGGAATGCAAAAGATTGGAACGATTAAAGTATTTAATCTTAAACTTTAAAAAATAATTAAGATAAATTAAACAGGATAGTGACCAAAGTAGTGCCATTATAATCACATTAAAAAGTAAAGCTTCCTTTTTTAAAACAATAACGTGAGAGATCCAAGATGGCTGATCACTAGCAGCTCGGGATTGTAGCTCCCAGTGAAAGCGCAAAGGAGGAGACGACGCCACACCTTCACATGAATTCTTGTTGCGCACGCACCAGGAGATTCCCAGCGGAGGAGCCCCACGGGTTGCCAGCGCGACTCTTGTGACCGGCGAGGCGGTTTTGCCGGCGCCTCAGAGCGTTGGTTCTTGGTGCAGAGTCAGAAAAGCACCATCAATCTTAACGCCGCTGATATAGTTGGCAAAGTGGGTTGCTTAGATTTCGGCGCTGAGAATCAATAAGTTGGACGTCCACTCAGAAACCCAATTACAAAGACGGTAATTATAAAGACCACATGGATAAATCTACAACGAAGGGAAGAAAACAGCCAAAAAAGGCTGAGAATACCCAAGATCAGAACGCCTCTCCCTCAGCAGGGGATCACAGTTCCTCATCAGCAACGAAACAAGGCTTGATGGAGAACGAGTGTGTTCCAATTACAGCAGCAGGCTTCAAAATGTGGATAATAAGAAACTTCTGTGAATTAAAAGAACTTGTTCTAAGACAATCCAGAGAAACTAAGAACTTTGAAAAAAGGTTTGACGAAATGTTAACAAGAATACACAATTTAGAGAGGAATATAAGTGAATTGATGGAGTTGAAAAACACAATACAAGAACTACGTGAAGTATGCACAAGTTTTAACAGCCGAATTGATCAAGCAGAAGAAAGGATATCAGAGGTCGAAGACCAACTCAATGAAATAAAACAAGAAGACAAGATTAAAGAAAAAAGGATAAAAAGGAACTAGCAAAGTCTCCAAGAAATATGGGACTATGTGAAAAGACCTAATCTACGCTTGATAGGTGTACCTGAATGTGACGAGAAGAGAATGAATCCAAGCTGGAAAATACGCTTCAGGACATTATTCAGGAAAATTTTCCCAACCTAGTAAGGCAGGATAATATTCAACTCCAGGTAATACAGAGAACACCACAAAGATATTCCTCAAGAAGAGCAACTCCAAGGCACATAATCGTCAGATTCACCAGGGTTGAAATGAAGGAGAAAATACTAAGGGCAGCCAAAGAGAAAGGTCAGGTTACCCACAAAGGGAAGCCTATCAGACTTGCAGCAGATCTCTCAGCAGAAACCCTACAAGCCAGAAGAGAGTGGGGACCAATATTCAATATCCTTAAAGAAAAGAACTTTCAACCCAGAATTTCACATCCAGCCAAGCTAAGCTTCATAAGTGAAGGAAAAGTAAAGTTTTTTGTGAACAAGCAAGCACTCAGAGATTTCATCACCACCAGGCCTGCTTTACAAGAGCTTCTGAAAGAACCACTACACATAGAAAGGAATAAACAGTATCAGCCTTTCTAAAAAATACCAAAAAGAGCATCAATATAATGAAGAATTTACATCAACTAATGGACAAAATAGCCAGCTAATATTAAATGGCAGTATTAAACTCACATATATCATTGTTAATTCTAAATTTAAATTGACTAAATCCCCCAATCCAAAGACAGACAGACAATTTAGATAAAAAACTAAAACCCATCAGTATGCTGCATCCAGACCCATCTCACATTCAAGGATACACAAAGACTCAAAACAAGGGATGGAGAAAGATTTACCAACCAAACAGAGAGCTAAAATAAATAAATAAAAAGCAGAAGTTACAATTTTTGGCTCTGATAAAATAGTTGTTAAAGCAACAAAGATCAAAAGAAGCAAAGAAGGACATTATATAATGATAAAAGGATCAATGCAACAATAAGAAGAGCTAAAGATCCTAAATATATATGCACCCAATACAGGAATACCCAGACATATAAGACTAATAAAGAGACTTAGACTCCCACACAATAATAGTCGGAAACTTCAACATTAATATTAGACAGATCAATGAGACAGAAAATTAACAACGATATCCAGGACTTGAACTCAGATCTGGAACAAGTAAACGTAATTAACATTTATAGAACTCTCCACTTTAAATATACAAAATATACACTCTTATCAGTACCACATCATATCAACTTAGAAGTTTAAACGAAATGTTGGTTGGCTCCTTGTTTGTTATTCTCTTCCCTCATTTTATGTCTCCATTATTAAGGACAATTATAGGCATACCCATATTTAGACTGCATTCTAGCCTGGGCAATAAAGCAATACCCCCATTCTCTCTCCCTCTTCCTCTTCTTTATTCTTTTTATTATTCTTTTTTTCTTTCTCAAAAAAAAAAAGAAATCTTCACCCGTATCTTAAAAAAAAAAAAAAAGTAAAGCTTCCATCAACATTTTACAAATTTGGCAAATCCAGTAAAACACATTTTTAAGTATTGCATTTCATTCCATTTTGTGATAGTTCATTTTTGATAAAACTTAACTCAGAAGAGAGGCTTCAGATACCCATGAAAAGAAAAACGGGTAGAAACACATACGCTGGGTTTGCTAATTCACTGTTTAGAAAGTATCTTAGATGTCTCACTATAATTGTTCTTAGGTGTTTTTAGCAAACGAATAATTACAATTCACAGATGGGACAAGTAGCACTTTTTATCTACATAGATTTATATAAACTTTTAGTAAAACGTTTAAATTTTTTACTTTTAATATTGTCAAATAATTTTCATTTCTTCTACTTTAAAAAGCTGGCCAGGTTGTTTGCCTGTATTGGGATCAACGAATGTTGGACTACACTATGTTTAGTTAAAATAACTAATTTATCTGGTCTGACTTAATATGTGGGAAACAATACACCCCTAATGTATTGAGATGTTTCTTTGAAACAAAAATATTTAATTTTATGCATGTGATAAGGAACAGCCTTACTCAATATATACTTTTTTTTTAATGAGCAACACACATAGCAGACATATAACTCCTTATTACCCATAATCTTAACTACCAAGAAATGAAGCCAAACTTTTAGAAAAATACGAGGCAAGAAAATTCAAGTTAAAAATATATTCCTTTGGTTAAAAATCATCCCCTTTATAATATTCATTTGTAATCTAAATTCACAGCATGTCCCCCCAGCCCAAAGTAACCTTCTAAATGTCATTACACCTGTAGTATTACAATGTTTTTTCAGTCCAGTATTTACGGAGGTCACTCAGCTGCAGCAACAAAACGTTTCAACTCTAGGAAGAGTATAGCCTTGTAGCATTAGCTCCTTTGACAATTTTCTTATAAGACCTTTACTTGAGAAACCTCCGACACATGTAGTTTTCTTCAGATACAGTATATCCAAACTTTTTATAGAAACCAACATTTTGTGGTAGACATTCAAGGGTAATCTTGTAACAGTTCAGTTTCTTGCTGAGCAAAGTAAGGGTTGATAATAACCTGAAATTTAAAAACGGGGAGGGTGAGGAGATAGCATTTATTAATAAAAATTGATTTTAGTAACTGAATTAATGTTATAAAACTTCGGTTTTCTTAGAAATAGGCTTTTATTATGGCTTTTCCCATTGCATTCATGTAAGTTGATAAGCATTTAAATCACCAAAGCATTAGAGTCAAATATATCTAGTAATCTCCAGCTCACTAATAAATAGAACAAATACTAAACTCCCCCTAAGCCCTCTTTAAAAATGAAATTTAAGGCCAGGTGTGGTGATTTGTATCTGTAATCCTAGCTGAGGCCCAGGTGGGTTAATCACCTGAGGTTGGGAGTTCAAGACCAACCTGACCAACATGGAGAAACCCCAGCTTTACTAAAAATATAAAAAAATTAGCCAGGTGTGGTGGTGCATGCCTGTAATCCCAACTATTGAGGCTGAGGCGGAGGCAGGAGAATCACTTGAACCTGGAGGCTGAAGTTGCGGTGACCCAAGATCACATCATTGCACTCCAGCCTGGGCAACAAGAGCAAAACTCTGTCTCAAAAAAATAGAGACCAAAATTATTTTGTTAAAGTTACTTAATCTATTTAAACAACTTAGGAGCAGTCGACATTCCCACATAAAATGCGTGCATTTTTAAAGCTACTTTAATATTTATGAAGGTGTGTATCAAATTAACTCGAGTGGTCTAATTAATATGAACTGGAAACAAATCAAGTCTACATCTATACAAATGCTTTGTGAATCCAACCCCAGTATTAAAGCATGCATCTAAATGCCTTGGAACATAAAAACTATAAAGATCTACAAACTTGGCCAGGCGAGGTGGTTCACACCTGTAATCCCAGCACTTTGGGAGGCCTGTGCGGGTGGATCATGAGGTCTGGAGTTCGAGATCAGCCTGACCAACATGGTGAAACCCGTCTCTAATAAAAATACAAAAATTAGCCAGGTGTGGTGGCGTGTGCCTATAGTCCCAGTGGCTCAGGAGGCTGAGGCAGGAGAATCACCTGAACCTGGGAGGCATAGGTTGCAGGGAGCCAAGATCAGGCCTGGGCAACAGAGTGAGACTCCATGTCACAACAAACTAACAAAACAGACCCTGTCTCAAAAACGGAAAAGTATAAATTATAATAAGATGCAAGTTCTTATAAAATAGACAATAAATCAGTGTCATTTATTTTAAATGACTTAGAAAAACATAGAGGAGATGATACAGTGAAGGCTCTTTCAGTATGTATGTCTACATCTTACGAGAATGACAGATCATAGAATATTCTGTAATAGTTGTACATTTCCTTTGTTATTAAATATGACAGAGAAGCTGGGGCAAATCTGATTAGCCCAAAAGTTTGTCTCCTACTATATGAGAGTATTACTATAAAAGTTAATAATTTAAAGATGTTAGGGTCTCTAAACAGGTATATTTCTGATTTTCAAACTTTAAGGCAAAATATGTGTAATACTTTATAATTCTTCATGAAATTCAGTCCAGACTATTGGAGTGAGAATGAGTTCAGAATTAATGAAGCCAAAAAGAACTTCAACAAGTATCTTCATAAGAAACTAAACTGGAACAAAATATATCCAGGATTACCTTGTTTCTGCCTACTTACAATTTGCCAAGCTGCTTTCCTCTGCATTCATCACTAACGACAACATCTTCTACTCTTCCTCTCTGAAAATATTTACATTGTTTAAAGGAGTAAGCATTTACTTTTGTTTTCAGCTAAAACGAGTTGGTAAGAATTTACTGATAATAAGAAGTATATTTTGTAAACTTAAACTTCATAGAAACCAAAATGCAAAAAATATTATACAGTGAAGGCTGTTTCAGTATTTATTTCTGTGACTTACGAGAATGAGAGATCACAGAATATTCTGTAATACTTGAACATTTTCTTTGTTTTTAAATATGACAGAGGCTGGGGCAAATCTGATTAACCCAAAAGTTTGTTTCCTACTAGTTTAAGAGTACTACTATTAAAAGTTAATAATTTAAAGATGTTAAAGATGTTTTTACTTACTAGAGGAAATAGTATGAGTCAGCTTGTGGGCTAAACTTCTTTTGGCTGTGCCCCCAACCTTCCCACCCCATTGTCTTTAAACAAGTATCAGAATCAACATCAAAATGTTGCCTTTTCATGAATATATCCATCATTCTACTACTTGCTTAGCAAGTTATTTTAGATAGCCAAATAAAATTAATGTGTAGTACAGAAACCCCACCAAAATTCTTAAGTGTCACAGAACACATCCCAAGTGTTCCTACCTTATTCTCACTGAATTACTAAAGTTTTCTCTCTTAATTATTTTATGAGTTATTGAAGGCTGAAAGGGCATTACATGCACTACATATATTAGGACAGAATAATAGTCTGAATACCATTTGGAAACAGAAATTTGTGCTAATGTGTATTCAAAGTATTGTTTTCTTAAAAAGAGTAACATTAGAGGTTTTCTGCATTACTGCTAAATAATTTGGTTTCTCTATGGCTATATCAAATTGATTCACCTTACATAATAATTTTAGCATACAATTCATACTGTTAATACATTTTCTTTCTTAGAGCACCCAGAACACACTGGGAAAGATATTTCTAAGAAGTACTGAAAAGCAGTGAGAAAACAGATTTGTCTAATGGAAACTCAAAGCCAGTTGTGCTAGAAGACACTTGTTCATTTTACTTAAAAGCATTACTGTGAGTACATACCTTAGCACAGGAATGGATGAATTTATGTTCTATTATCAGAGTTGCTGTAGCAACAATCTGTCCTAGAGTCACATCTTCTACAACTGTAACATAATAATCCCCAGATTTCTTCATATGCTCAAAAGATTCTGTGGAAATTGGACAACAAAATGTTACATAGTAGACATTCAACTTTATGGGGAGCCAGAAAAATACTAGGATTAGCTGACTTAATTACTAAATATTTAAAGCTACTTCATTTACTTTAGATTTCTTTAACCTTTATACTCAATAGATATTCAAATATAACAAAATTCTGCCCATTTTAAGAAGACCATGTTTACATGGCTCAATTCTAGAATTTTTGTCTTTGGTTTCAAAATATTTTCACAAAACAGCTTTCAATTTTCCCTTTGTGATGGAAAGTGTTTTGTGATAACATGACTTGCTCTTGTTTGCTTTAAGAGCACCTTGCAAAGGAGGTAAAACATAATCTGTTTCTAAGTAACTTTTCCAAGTCGCATAGCAAATAGGTGCAAAGATACTTCTCCTCAATGGATTTTCAGTACTATTGCTGAAGTAACATGGTTTCCTATCTAACTGATGTGCACGCAAAGAGAAATTCAGGAATAAAAACTGAGGCTAATAGTCTTTCATTGTTAATTTCTATAGTCTCATTCCAGATACAGATCTAAAATGGGAAAAAGAGAAAGTCAATGAATGTAAATAAACAATGAGAATCAGAAAATAATGGCCCTCATTCTCACGAGGGTCAAATAGAGTTCAATACAAAATTACCTATTATAAGGAAATGAATTATAATTCCTCAGCTATTAAATATTACTAAATAATTAGTAATGATGAATTAATAATCTTCATTACCATTATAATGGGGAAAAGCAGTGTTAGTTAAAACAGGAGAAAGCAGTGCCAGAGCACTGGACAGAATTAAGGTTTTATTCCTCTTCATAGCAGTAACTACCTGTGATCTTGGGTAAGTCTTTGGATCTCTAGTCTAGACTCCCATTTTCTCATATGTCTAAAAGAGGGGGTTAGATTAACTCTTAAGATACCTGCTAACCTTAAACTTCAATACAACTAAACCTCAAAATAAATTTAAAATATATGCTCTGACATTTTTGGTTCAGTAATAAAATTTCTGTAAATAACCAAAATAAGGGAAATACTACCAAAAAAAAAAAAAAATCTCTAGAGCAACCACCTAAGTCCTATTCTACAGGAATTATCTAATAAAGTAGTCAGATATTTTGCAAAACAAAGTTACTGGTACATTTGGAATTCTAGAATGACTCAGCCACATTAAACATTTAAATAAAAAAATAGCTAATTCGTTCTTTGAATAATTTCCAGCTATTTGAACAAAAACAGAAGTGGGCACTGAATAGCTCTAAACAAAAATGAAATCAGGTTTCCCTTTATTTCAGGAAAAAGAGGCTATAGTACTTACTCATAAATTGTTCAGGGCTGACAACTCCAGTCTCTGTTAGCTGACCCAATACCTTAAAGAAACCTAGTTTTGAGAAACAGATTTCAAATTATGAGAAGAGGAAAAGACAGAGTATGAAAAGAAGCAATATGTTAAGCAGGTGGGCTTATAGGCAATTATTCAGAACTTCCCATAATCATCTTTTAATTATTAAAATAAAATGAACCCTATTCTTCTATAATCACTACATATCACAATAACAAAAATAACAGGTTTTACCAATGCTTTTACCTGCGTAAGATGTTTTAAATAGTGCTGACCTGAATATCCAGTATTTATAGACCCAGAACAAACATTTTTCAATGTTTTATATTTTACATTAAGTTCAATGAAAAGGATGCCAAATTTTCCCAAATATATATTTGGTTTTACTTAAAGGTGCAATATGGCCAAATATGATACTTGTAAATTAAAGTATATGTAACATTGTTGAGATTACACTCTTTAAAATAGTAATTTCTAGTTAATTTCACTAGTGTTACCTGAAATTAATATGAACGCTATACCTGGAATTTTGAAAATCCTTTTTTTTTGAGATGGAGGCTCGCTCTGTCGTCCTGGCTGGAGTCCCAGTGGGGCAATCTTGGCTCACCACAACATCCGCCTCCCGGGTTCAAGTGATTATCCTGCCTTGGCCTCCTGAGTAGCTGGGACTACAGCCTCATGCCACCACACCCCTCTAATTTTGGTATTTTCGGTAGACACGCGGTTTCACCATGTTGGTCAGGCTGGTTTCAAACTACTGACCTCGTGATCTGCCTGCCTCGACTTCCCAGAATGCTGGGTTTACAGGCATGAGCCACTGTGTCCGGCTGAAAATCTTAACTTTGCTACACTCAATAATTAATTAGGCCAAAATTAGGTCCTTCAGGCTGTCTAGCAAAGAGAAAACTGAAAAATACAAAGCTGACTTTTAATTACCAAAGTTTAAGGAAGTTCACGTGGAGAATTTGGAGGTTAAAAAAAAGAAGTAAGTGTAGAAAAACCCTTTAATGTATCCAAGGAAAATTATTTACACCTTAATTTCCCAACCAGCTTCTTAAGATTCCTCCTTATGTGTTATTATGCATAATAATTTCATTTTTGTTAATGGGAAATCTTGGCTTATTTAGGAAGGAGTGATGTTGCATTTGAGTCATTTTAAATGTTTCATAGTAATATTTGGTCTTAGCCCTGAAACATACTCATTGGTATTGAGTGTCCGTCACTTTAAAAATTAAGAATTACACCAAAAAAGTACAAAAGTCAAGTATTTCAAAAAATTATCCACATCATAATGTTCATAGAGAAAATGGAAGGGCTAACTCTAGTTTTACATGAGATTGGTAACTGAGTACATTACCTCTATTTAAATCAGCAGTACAAAGAGGCCTCAAAACCAAGCCTTCTCCAGGATGTGTTGGGGAAATGGCTGGAGAAAATGTAGCTGTATTCTGACTCCAGTCCACTTCTTTGAGTAGACTTGGGTCAAACATTGGAGTTTCATCAGGTTTCATCTTTCTAGTAAGTTCTAAAATAAGAATTTAAATATTAACTCATTTAATAGAAGGAAAATTATGATTGTTGAGAAAGTTAATATAAATTAATGCAATTAGAAGCATTCCTTTAGCAGATACTTGAGATATTTTACTGCAACCTGTCTTGAATCTAACATTAAATATCACAACTACAGATAAATGGAAAAATGCCTACTATCAGAAAATGGATAAGTGGCTAAATTAGTAAGTTTTAAACTAAAATCTCATTTATTATCAGGTCTTTTTTTTTGGAGGGGGACATGGAGTCTTGCTCTGTCACCAGTCTGGAGTACAACCTCCAGTTCCTGGATTCAAGTGATTCTCCTGCCTCAGCCTCCTGAATAGCAGGGATTACAGGCAACTGCTACCATGCCCAGCTAATTTTTTTTTTTTCAGATGGAGTTTTGCCCTTATTGTCCAGGCTGGAGTGCAATGGCATGATCTCAGCTCACCACAACCTCTGCTTCCTGGGTTCAATCAATTCTCTTGCCTCAGCCTCCGGAGTAGCTGGGATTACAGGCATGTGCTACCACACCAGCTAATTTTGCATTTTTGCTAGAGACAGGATTTTCTCCATGTTGGTTAGGCTGGTCTTGAACTCCTGACCTCAGGTGATCCTCCTGCCTCAGCCTCCCAAAGTGCTGGGATTACAGGCATGAGCCTCGCCTGGCCAATTTTTTGTATTTTTAATAGAGACTGGGTTTCACCATGTTAGCTTGGCTGGTCTCAAACTATTGAACTCCCAGCCTCAGGTGATCAGCCCACCTTGGCCTCCCAAAGTGCTGGGATTACAGGCACGAGCCACCGAGCCCGGTATTAACAGGTTTTTTAAAACATGTTTTTTCCTCTGGGTTGGTGCTACTAATGAATAGCTGACTTTTCATGGGCTCTTAAATTTTTTACATTATGTCCTTGGATTTATTATTTTCTTTCTCTCGCTCTCTCTTTTTTTTTTTTTTTTGAGATGGAGACTTGCTTTGTCACCCAGGCTGCAGTGCAGTGGCACAATCTCAGCTCATTGCAACCTCCGCCTCCCGGGTTCAAGCAGTTATCCTGCCTCAGCCTCCCAAATAGCTGGGACTACGGGTGCCTGCCACCACACCCGGCTAATTTTTGGATTTTTAGTAGACACAGGGTTTCACCATCTTGGCCAGGCTGGTCTCGAACTCCTGACCTCATGATCCACCTGCCTCAGCCTTCCAAAGTGCTGGGATTACAGGCATGAGCCACCGTGCCTGGCATGAATTTATTTATTTATTTATTTATTTATTTATTTATTGAGATGGAGTTTCGCTCTTGTTACCCAGGCTGGAGTGCAATGGCGCGATCTCGGCTCACTGCAACCTCCGCCTCCTGGGGTCAGGCAATTCTCCTGCCTCAGCCTCCTGAGTAGCTGGGATTACAGGCATGTGCCACCATGCCCAGCTAACTTTTTGTATTTTTAGTAGAGGCGGGGTTTCACCATGTTGACCAGGATGGTCTCGATCTCTCGACCTCGTGATCCACCCACCTTGGCCTCCCAAAGTGCTGGGATTACAGGCTTGAGCCACCGCGCCCGGCCGAATTTATTATTTTCAACAGGAAATTGCAAGGGGGAAAAATGTATATATATATATATATATATATATATATATATATATAAACAGTAATCTCTTAATCTTCCTTGTCACTAAAGAAAACTTACTGGGCATGTAGCTTAAAAAAAAAAAAAAAGAATCATGAATAGAAGATAACTGATGAACAGGCTCAAATTAATTATTTTCTGTATTCTCAGAAATACTTTACCTTGGCTATGATAGATATACACTAAGAGTGTCTGCTGAATTGGTTTTCATAGCAGGTTTTCTAAAAATCTATCGTGTGGGCTAGGCACCATGGCTCACGCCTGTAATCCTAGCACTTTGGGAGGTGGGTGGATCACTTGAGGTCAGGGATTCGAGACTAGCCTGACGAACATGGCGAAACCCTGTCTCTACTAAAAATACAAAATTAGCCAGGTGTGGTGGTGGGCACCTGTAATCCCAGCTACTTGGGAGGCTGAGACAGAAAAATCACTTGAACCCAGAAGGTGGAGGTTGCAGTGAGCCAAGATCACACAACTGCAGTCCAGCCTGGGCAACAAGAGCGAAACTCCATCTCAAAAAATAAAATAAAAATGTATAGTGTTAAGTTTCTCAGTTGCATCTAAGCAGCTTGAAAATAGCCAGTGTTTTTCATGCTACTGAAAAGTGATCATGGTATTTCCCCCTCTATTTTGAACATTTAGAAATGATCAGGTTCTCACTAGTTGTAGTGTTTTAAAACTGAGACTAAATAACAGAGAAGTAATGTCAGGAAGGATGAAAAACAAATCATATAAAGCATAAAATGGGTTAGGGGCCTTCTGTGGAGCACAGAGTTGCTTAAAAAAAAAAAAAAAAAAAAAAAAAAAAAAAAAAGATGCTTCCCAACAATTACAAGTTAAGTATCCCTTATCCAAAATGCTTGGGACCAGAAATGTTTCAGATTTTGGATTTTTTTTTTTCAGATTTGGGGATATTTGCATATATATAATGAGATATCTTAGGGATGGGACCCAAGACAAAACAAAACTCATTTGTGTTTCATATATACCTTACACACATAGCACAAATATTTTACACAATATCTTAAATAATTTTGTGCATGGAAAAGTTTTTGTACATAAATCAGGTGTGGAATTTTCCACTTGTGGCATTATGTTGACCCTCAATAAAGTTTCAAATTTTTGAGCATTTTTGATTTTTGGATTAGAGATTTAAAAAAAAAAAAAGCAGCCTTCAACTTACTTCTATACCCAGTTAAAGAAACTCTCTCTCTCTCTCTCTCTCTCTCTCTCTCTCTCTCTCTCTCTCTCTCTATATATATATATATATATATATATATATTTTTTTTTTTTTTTTTTTTACAAATTTATTTTTTTGAGATGGAGTTTTGCTCTTGTTGCCCAGGCTGGAGTGCAATGGCACTATCTCAGCTCATCACAACCTCTGCTTCCCAGGTTCAAGTGATTCTCCTGCCTCAGGCTTCCAAGTAGCTGGGATTAAAGGCACGTGCCACCACGATGGCTAGTTTTGTATTTTTAGTACAGACTGGGTTTCTCCATGTTGGTCAGGCTGGTCTTGAACTCCTGACCTCAGGTGATCTGCCCTCCTCGGCCTCCTAAAGTGCTGGGATTACAGGCATGAGCCACCGACTCCCTCCCCCGCCTCTGGCCAAGAAACTATATTTTAATGAGAGAACAATTTGCCCAGTAACGGAACTCCCAATTGTTCCTTATTTCATAAGTCACAGTATGCTTTAGGGCATATATTCTTAACTTTTCCTTAAACATGGATACTAAGTTTCTGTGTATGTAATCCTATGTAACTATATAAATAATGCTGCAATACAGTTAGTTATGGGAAGATAATGTGATGTGATCTTACAATAGAAGTTAACACTTGCTCAGCACTTCTTATGTGCCAGACTGTTCAAAGAAATTTAATAGTTCATTTATTTCAACCATCGTACAGGTTAGGCATGGTTATTACCTACATTTCAATAGGTGAGAAAATGTTAAGTAACTTGCCCAAGGTCACAAAATTCCGGGATTTAAACCTAGGCATAAAAGGAGCATGAGTTTTGGAATCAAACTTGGTGTTCAAATGTCAACTGTATAACTACTAAGGTAATTAAGTTCTTAAGTTGTAGTTTCCTTACTTGTAAAGTGTAGATGAATTATTGGAAGAATGAAATGCATTACTGTATGCAAGCAAGAACTTAGCAGTGCCTGGCATACTGTTAAAGACGCAATAAGATATATGGTAGTTAGCAATAAATTTAAAATTCAAATTTATAAATTCTTGTTCATTTTTTTCACCTTTAATTCATGAATCAGGCACTGTTCTGAGTACAGGGACTACAAAAAAAAATGACAGGCACTTATGTTTATGTTAAACCAAAAGTTAGCATTCTTGGACAGAAAAGAATAACAACGTAACTTACAATGTAGACTGCCAAGAGGTCCCCCCAGACAACACACACACACAAAAGTATTCAGATCAAATTATGCTGCACACACTGTACCTAGTTCTAACATTAAGGAAAATGTAGAAATTGTCATGATCAAACAAAAACTTCAAATTTAACAAGTTTAATATCCATTCAAAATAAGATTTTTGTTTTATTCTGTTTTGAGATAGGGTCGCACTCTGTTGCCTACACTGGAATGCAGTGGTGCAATTCATAGCTCACTGCAGCCTTGAAATCCTAGGCTCAAGTGATTCTCCCACCTCAGCTTCCCAAGTAGCTGGGACTACAGGCTCATACCACCACACCTGGCTAATTTTTGCATTTATAGTAAAGATAGGGTTTTTGCAGCGTTGTACTTTAAGTCCTGACCTCAAGTGATCCTCCCTCTTCAGCCTCCCAAAGTTCTGGAATTACAAGCGTGAGGCAGCACGCCCGGCCAAAACATGTTTTTAATAGATGAATTTGAGTCGACGTGTTTTACTGTCTGTCCCTGGTAATTGGACCCTTGAGGTTTTTGTGTGTAATCTCATCTGAAAGGTAGGTAGCAACATTGTTTTTCAGGTATGTAGATAAACAGGCTAAGTATTTATTAATAAAGTGAAATGTGTACAGTATTAAAAATGTAAATTCCTTGAGGCAGCACACTATTGAAACATTTTGATCATGCTATTAAACATATAGTTGTAAGTACAAAGTTTAAAGAAAACTCAAAGAGAATTTAAGTCAACATTAACATTTAACTAGATTCCTTTTTCCTATAAAGTTGTCTGTGTTTACAATAAAAACGTAGTCTAGAAAACATGAAAAATAGGGTTAATAATTTTCATGAGGATAGAAGTATACAGGAAAACAACTAGGATTATGGAACCCTTAACTAATGAATTTTAACCAGGAAGTACTAATATTTTCCTGTACTTTAATGAGATGGTCCTATTACATGACTGATCATAAAAATACATAATATTGGTAACACTTATTGAAAACTTCATATATATTAACTCTTAAAAATACAATGAACAATGTATCATTATTATCCCAATTTTACAGATAAGGAAGCAGGAACAGTAACTTGCTCAAGGTTACAGTGCCAACAAGGGACAGAGTAAGGATTCAAAATGAGGCAATAGGGCCGGCTTCAGAAGCCCCTGACCTGTGCGGTTACACAGGGCACTGCACTTAGTTTAATACCCTGCTCCCACTGTTTTGATATTCTTAATTTTTTGACAAAGAAATCTACATTTTAATTTGGATTATCACAATTTACGTAGCCAGTCCTGCTAGGTAGTATGACTGCAGACTCTGCTCTTAACCATTATTACACCAAAGATGTACTAGAGTAGATAAATTCCCTACCTTATTGTTGTACAAGAGTTCAAAATTAAGTCATAAGCAGCACTTAGAAACATTAAACAAAGCATTCCAGATTGAAATAAGATTCTGTTAACCAAACAATCAAAAATAAACATCAAAATTGTTTTTATGAGCTACTTTACAAAACAGCCATACTGAAGGCCCACTTTATCTCTATCCTCAAACAGTAAAATTCTCCTGGTGCCCAACTAATATACGGGGCAAGGTAAAGCAAAATATGACTTGATACTCGGATCCAAAGGGTTTTAGAACATAATTAGGTAATTTTATATAAATAATCTTTTAGCATCTTCAGGTACCCCAGATACTGCAAAACTAGGAAATTTCTGCAAATAAAATTGCACAATTGCTTGAAGCGGAAATCTCATCATATCATTAGGGTCTTCAAAGTTTCTAGATTAACTTTAAAAATAAAAAAAGTAAACACTAACCCTCCGTAAGTATTCCTCAGAACCTTTTCTGATTAACTGCTAAATTAGCACACATTTAGAAGACACGCTTATGCCTAACCCTAGCCCAATAATGCCTAATGAATGAATAACGAATAAGACTTACCAGTAGGTCACATTTCAAAAAATCCAGGACAAAAAAAAAAAAAAAAATTCCCAAACTGTCACAAGTAACATCACAAAAAAACATACACCAAGTTCATTTTTACGTGTCATCACATCAATTGAATATTTTTTCACTAAATATTTTTTAAACAAAATTTCAACAATTTGGCTTCCGAGCCTCGGACTGGAATATGAGCCGGGAGAGAGGCTGCTGCTAGAAGCGAGCAACTGAGAGCAACAAGTAATAGACACCGGAGATGAAGATTTTAAAAGTCGATCTACAAATTTTAAAAACATAATCTAAGGCCAAATCTAAACCTGTATATTTATCAAGAGCTTCTGGGGCACCCTCTAAGTACAGATGAATGGGGAAGGGGCGGACTTCGGATTCCTTTACATACATTTTATAATCATTTCGATAACAAGAATCCATTGTGAATGTATTTTGTTAATGATTTTTAACACACCTGGCTATATGTATTAAATTCTGTAACTGCATGAATTTTCAAAAGTGTTTTCTGATAGTTTATTTGACCTTTTACAATCTAGGCGTTATTTCCAGTCTACCGATGAGGAAGCTGAAGCACCTGGAACTCCCAAGACTTGCCCTTCTAGGTAACACAGCAAATAAGTGACTTGGGGCTAGAATCCTCTGGTTTTCGCATCTTGAGCTCTACTACGATCCTCAAGAGACCCCAATCTTTACATCATCATACCATACAGCTAGCTCTTTCTCACCTATTCGGCAAATCCTGCCTAAATAAATTTCTTGAGATCCATTCTAGGATTTGTTCATGAGGGATTATCCTAACAAAACGAATCCTATAATCGCCCATTCAATTTTGTATGAAAATTTTAAATGAGTTTGGCTTACATAAACATCAGCTCCTACAACAGAAATCATAGTACAGTACTCGGTGTTTCTAGGGGTAGGAGCCTGGGGGAAAAAAAGAGACAAAGGATGTCTCTCAGTAGCCTGGGGAAAGCGCCGACCTAGTCGGTGCGGAGGTGGTTTTCGGAGCAGCTGCCTATCTCAGTGGCTCGCGACAACCGTCGGATGCGCCCTGAAATGGAAAGGGGGAAGGGGAGAAGGGGCCTGGGGCGTTCGTCCTCATTCAAAACCAATGGCTGCAGACAGCGCGACCAAACTATCTCATTTCCCACGCCAAAGCCTGGGGAGCGAAGTTCCGACCCCAATCCCTGTTCCAGCCCTGCCAGGCCAAGACCCGCGCATGGCCGGACCGCTGGCCACCATCCTTAACCTCTGCTCCAGGTGCGCGTGCGTTCAACTTCCTGGGAGCTGCGTTCCACACCATGTGCGCCCAGCTGGCGACGATCACCAGCACCCCCAGCACCCGCAGGGGCCTCACCGGGGCACCAGACACACCTGTTAGATAAACCTGAAGGCAGGCCCGTCCCGGCCCTCGTGACACACGGTCCCGCTCTCGCCACCCGGCCACGGTCCCTCCTCACCCGTAGAGGCCCCGCAGTCGGCGCTCCAACCAGGCTCTCCCCCACCAGGGTGCACAGCACCAGATCCGGATCCGGCTTCAGCGCCAGCCCCACCTCCTTCTCCACCGCCCGCGCCACAGTCGGGAGCCGCGGCCCAGACGTGGCAGCGCCAACGCCTCCACCCCCGCCTCTGCCCTCTCACGCAGGCGCCACTCGCCCAGGCCCGGCGAGCGAGGGGCGGGGCCCGGAAAGCGGAGGCGGGACCAGGAGGGCGAGGGGCGGGGTCCGAGGCGCGGGGGCGGGACCAGGAGGGCGAGGGGCAGGGCCTGAGGCTCACGTCAGTGCCGCGGGCGGTGGCCGCCGACCAAAGCTGGGCTCGCCCAACGCCTCCTCCTCGCTCCCCAAGGCCTTTCCCACCGCATCCTTGTCTTGGTTTATCTGCAGATACGAATACCTAGCAGCTAGCACAGCAGCGCGAGGGGTGACCAGTGTGGGCCTCTTTGATTCTGAGACAGAAGGCTGGGCCACGGGCCCTCTCCATTTGTCCCTTATTGCCCTCCCCTCATGATTCAATCAATTAATTAGGACTTTTCCTATCAGCTGGCAGCTCAGAGCTCCGTGTCCCCAGGTCTCTGAGTCACAGTTACTGCCTTCATGAAACTAGGAGTTGAAGCCACCGCATTCTACTCCTTCGGGACTATTGTTTCATTTCTCAGTCCCTCAAACCTTTAGTGGAGGAACATGGAGTTAGGACAGTGGTTCTCAACTGCAGCAGTTTTGCCTCCCAGGAGACAGTTGGCAATGTATGGAGCATTTTCAGCCTCTCTTGTTGGGGAGAGATGCCATTGGAATCTCCAGATGGTGGAGGGCACAGGTGAGTAGAGTCCGGGAAAACTGCTAAACGCCTTACAATGCGCAGAACAGCGCCTCACAACAAAGAATTACTTGGTCTGGGAGGCCGAGGCGGGTGGATCATCTGAGGTCAGGAGTTCCAGACCAGCCTGGCCAACATGGCAAAACCCTGTCTCTACTAAAATACAAAAATTAGCTGGGCGCGATGGCACGCACCTACAGTCCCAGCTACTCAGGAGGCTGAGGCAGGAGAATTACTTGAACCCAGGAGGCAGAGGTCACAATGAGCTGAGATGGCGCCACTGCACTCCAGCCTATGCAACAAGAGCGAAACTCTGTCTCAAAAGACTTGGCCTGAAATGTCTGGAGTGCTGAGGCTGAAAAACCTTTTGCTAGGAGAAGAAAAGTGACTTTTCTCAGAGTCCCATTTCTGAAGTGTCTTAATTGGGTAGCACTTTGTTCATATTTTAACAGATGAGGAAACAGAGGTTCAGAGATGTTACATAATTTACAAAAGTCTCATAGTTAGTAGCTCCCCTTCCTTGCCTTGTACCATAATTTTCAACTTACACTGAAATCACAAAGTATATTATTCTTTTTCTTTTTTTTTTGAGAAGGAGTTTCACTCATTACCCAGGCTGGAGTGCAATGGCGAGATCTTGGCTCACTGCAACCTCAGCCTCCTGGGTTCAAGCAATTCTCCTGCCTCAGCCTCCCAAGTAGCTGGGATTACAGGCTCACGTCACCATGCCTAGCTAATTTTTGTATTTTTAGTAGAGACGGGGTTTTGCCATGTTGACCAGGATGGCCTCTATCTCTTGACCTTGTGATCCACCCGCCTTGGCCTCCCAAAGTGCTGGAATTATAGGTGTGAGCCACCGCGTCGGCCTGTTTTTCTTATCAGACTTCTGGTCAAATGTTTTCAGTGAGTTTTTTCTCCTGTACAACAAACTCCTGCATGTTTTATAAATTAGCAAAAAGTGAAACATGAACAATTGTAAAATCACAGAACACAAGACTTCTAAGAGGTACCCCCAGAGATCTCATGCATTCCAGATATACTCCTTCTTATCCCCATTGGGCTAAGAACCCAATTTCTCCTTAATAGACAAGGTCAATCACTCTGACCAGTACGGTTAACCCCTTTCTTTGCCCTTAGGTTCACTTGGCAAGGAGGAGCCCAAGCTAACCTGGAGACAGTCTCAACTTCTGATTTAATGGAACCATTGGTATGTCCTTTGGTGATTTTTATTTATTTTTATAGATTCTTGTAAGAAATGCTGCGTTCACTAATATTCTTAATGGCACAGATAAGGCTATTATGTGGAAAAACATGAATATCAATTATTGTGTTGAGAAATGGTTCAGGGATGCTGGCCTGAATAAGTAGTTTAAGAATAACTTAGCCGGGTACTATGAGTCACGCCTGTAATCCCAGCACTTTCAGAGGCCAAAGCGGGTGGAACACAAGGTCAGGAGTTCAAGACCAGCTTGGCCAACATAGTGAAATCCTTTTTCTACTAAAAATACAAAAATTAGCCAGGTGTGGTGGTACACACCTGTAGTCCCAGGTCTCGGGAGGCTGAGGCAGTAGAATTGCTTGAACCCAGGAGACAGAGGTTGCAGTGAGCTGAGACCGTGCCATTGCACTCCAACCTGGGTGACAGAGTGAGATTCCATCTCAAAAAAAAAAAAAGAAAAAGAAAAAAATACCTTAACCAGTTTATTTCATTTATATTTTCCTCCTAATGTTTGCACAGGAATTAGATATAACAATCCATGTCTAATTAAGTATAAAAGAGTTGTTTCACTAGGTATTAAAAGTTCCAAGTGATATTATAGTTTTAAATTAGTTACATTGTTTCTTTCTTAGTGGTATATACATTAATGGTGTGTCACAATGGATGTGTCTAAGATTTGATGAAATATGGTACATACTTAATATGGTCTTGAAGTTATAATTATCTGCTATGGTTTTTGGGGTTTTTTTTGTTTTTTGTTTTGTTTTTGAGACGGAGTTTCGCTCTTGTTACCCAGGCTGGAGTGCAATGGCACGATCCCGGCTCACCGCAACCTCCGCCTCCTGGGTTCAGGCAATTCTCCTGCCTCAGCCTCCTGAGTAGCTGGGATTACAGGCACGCGCCACCATGCCCAGCTAACTTTTTGTATTTTTAGTAGAGACGGGGTTTCACCATGTTGACCAGGATGGTCTCCATCTCTTGACCTCGTGATCCACCCACCTTGGCCTCCCAAAGTGCTGGGATTACAGGCTTGAGCCACCGCGCCCGGCCTTCTGCTATGGTTTTAATGTTCCCTCCAAAACTCACATTGAGATTTAATTGCCATGGTACAGTATTGAGAGGGTGAGGCCCTTAAGGAGTAATTAGGTCATGAATGCTCTGCCCTCACAAATGGATTAATGCTGTTATCATGGGAGTGTGTTCCTGACAAAAAGGATGAGTTGAGCTCTTCCCTCTCTTGCTTTCTCTTACACCACTCCTTTCATGTGATGCCTTCACCCATGGGGTAACCCTCAACAGATACTGGTACCATGGCTTGGACTTCCCAGCCTCCAGAACTGAGAGCCAAATACACTTCTTTTTATTATGAATTACCCAGTCTTGGGTATTCTATTACAGTAACAGAAAACAGGCTAAGATATTCTCTAAACATGTTTATAACTTATTTCATTTGATACTTAAATGAATTCTATTACATAAGGTGGGCACTATTTTTCCATAATGCAAGTGAAACTCAAGCAATTTTCCTTTTCTTTTTGAAACAAGATCTTGCTGTATTGCCTAGGCTAGAATATGGCTGCACAATCTCAGATCACTGCAACCTCTATCTCCCGGGCTCAAGCAATCCTCCCACCTCAGCCTCCCAAGTAGCTGACACTACAGGTATGCACCACCACACCTAGCTAATTTTTTGTAATTTTTGTAAAGACAAGGTTTTATCACATTGCTCAGGCTAGTCTTGAACTCATGACTAGCCATGAGTTCAAGCCATCATGTGCCCACCTCAGCCTCCCAAATTACTGGGATTATAGACATGAGTCACTGCACCAGCTATAATTTTTCTTTTCTTTTCTTTCTTTTTTTTTGAGACAGAGTTTCACTCTTGTTGCCCAGGCTGGAATGCAATGGCACAATCTTGGCTCATTGCAACCTCTGCTTCCCAGGTTCAAGCAATTCTCCTGCCTCAGCCTCCCGAGTAGCTGGGATTACAGGCATGTGCAACCACACCTGGCCAACTTTTTGTATTTTTAGTAGAGATGGGATTTCTCCATGTTGGTCAGGCTGGTCCTGAACTCCCGACCTCAGCTGATCCACCCACCTTGGCCTCCCAAACTGCTGGGATTACAGGCATGAGCCACTGCACCTGGCCAATTTATCTTTCTTTCTTTTTGTTTTTAAATGAGTGAGGCTGTGTGTCTGTTCTCATGCTGCTAATAAAGACATACCCAAGACTCAGTAATTTATAAAGAAAAAGAGGTTTAATGGACTCATAGTTCCACATGCTGGGCAGGCCTCACAATCATGGTGGAAGGCAAAGAAGGAGCAAACTCATGTCTTACATGGAAGCAGGCAAGAGGGCATATGCAAGGGAACTCCCCTGTCTAAAACCATCAGATTGCCAGGCATGGTGGCTCATGCCTGTAATCCCAGCACTTTGGGAGGCTGAGGTGGTGGGGATCACCTGAGGTCTGGAGTTCAAGACCAGTCTGTCCAACATGCTGAAATCCCATCTCTAGTAAAAATTCAAAACTTAGCCAGGTGTGGTCGTGGGTGCCTGTAATCCCAGCTACTTGGGAAGCTGAGGGAGGAGAATCATTTGACCCTGGGAGGCAGAGGTTGCAGTGAGCTGAGATTGCACCATTGCCCTACAGCCTGGGTGACAAAAGTGAAACTGTGTCTCAAAAACAAACAAAAAAAAACACCATCTTGAAATATTACAGAAATATGGAACAAAGAGTGATCAGTCTCTGTAGTTCTGCCTTCAAAGATAACCACCATGTTACTCCGTTTTCACATTGTTATAAGGATACTATCTGAGACTAGGTAATTTATAAACAAAAGAGGTTTAATTGATTCAGTTCCACATGGCTGGTGAGGCCTTAGGAAATTTACAGTCATGGCAGAAGGTGAGAGGAAGCAAGGCATATCTTCACAAGGCAGCAGGAGAGAGAGAGAGTACAAATGGGAAACTGCAAAACACTTTTAAAACCATCAGCTCTTGTGAGAACTTCACTGTCACAAGAACAGCATGATCCAGCCAGGCGCGGTGGCTCAAGCCTGTAATCCCAGCACTTTGGGAGGCCGAGGCGGGTGGATCACAAGGTCAAGAGATCGAGACCATCCTGGTCAACAT